AAGAGCTGTAAATCTCTTTCCTTTCAGTCAAGAGCTACTATGATTCAGTTTAGGAAGTCAAGAGCCAAGATAGTGGAAAGTGCTGAAACAGATTTTCTCAAGTTGTGAATGCAAAGGAAAAATTCTTGAGGGATCTAGGAGCGCTACTTCAGCAAACATTCAGAAGAAAATCAACCGCTACTAATTTATTACTGATAAAGCTCTCACCCACAACATTCTCTTAAGTTAAAGCTTAATTTAGAGCAAGTACCTGTCTTCAATCCCCAGAGGTTGAGAAAGGTCAGAAAACCATAGGAGAAAAATTTTAAGTTAACAGAAATTGGGTCAGGGGTTTAAGGGGGGGGGGATGTTTTCGTAAGATAAGCATCCAAGACAAAGCAGCAAGTACTGGTTTCGAAGTTGCATCAAATGATCTGGAAGCCAGCAGTGGTGGCACGCGCACACCATTAATCCCAGCACTCAGAGGCAGAGATGGGCAGATCTCTGTGGGTTTAAGGCCAGCCCTAACTACAGAGTAAGTTCCAGGGCAGGCAGACAGAGAAACCCTGTCTCAAAAACCAAACCAAAAGCAAACACCAAACTTGAAACATCCTAGTTAAGATAGTTGATGAAGGCAGCCTCATGAAACAACCCACTTGCTCTTGGGGGAGCAGAGTTTCTAGCTCATGCCAGCCCTTGAACTCCCTGTGTAGCCAAGGATTACCTTGAAATTCTGTTTTACCCTCGTGTACCATCACTCTTGGTCTTGCAAATACCAGGCTTTCAGTGAAACAGCTTTATGCTGGCAAAGGACACCATTTGGGACTTTTCATAGCTAGAGCAGTCATTGCCTGGCTCCAGAGGTTCAAAGGACAGGCTGACTGTCTTGGTAGGCGCCCATAAAAAGGCGCCCATGGAAGCCCCCTTTTCATCTGTCATCCTCCAAACCCAGGGGCTCTTTGAGAGCCACATGAAGTCTGCTCTGCCTGTTCTCTATAAATGGAGCAACAAAGCCGTGATGACAGCACAAGTGGTTACAAAATAGTTTCCTGACTTTTTGAAGCCCACTGATGATAACTATTGTTCAGTAAAATGATATCAGCCTGGTGGTACATGCCTCCTACTCCTGCTACATGAAGGCTCAGGGATAACTTATTCAAAGAATTCAAGGCTATATCTTGGGTAGCATGGTGAGATATGGTCTCAAAGGACAAACAAACAAATTCCTTTCAAAATATAACCTTACCCAAGAACTCTAACGGAATTTAATGAGATTAGTAATGTTTTCATGCCTGTTAAATGGCGCCGGCCACCATACAGCCTATGGATTAGGGAGCGGTTTAACACGCAAGTCTCACTGCCTATAAATTTTATGCTTACCATTATCAAGGATAGCATTTTCTCTGATTTATCTGGACGTAGTAAATTGAAAAGCTCTGGAAATGATTCCGTACTGTAGATGTCATTTAAGAGTAAATACTATCACTGGAATTCACCATGTAGATGCATTAAGAGCATTCATAATTCATGTCAGACTATCAATATTAACCAAAATTTAGAAGAAGATGATTATAGCCAGCATGGTGTTGGGGTCTCAATGCATTAGTGAAAGAAACAGTTGTAGAAAATGTAGACATAGCAGTTGTCCTAGCTTGCTTTCTGGCACTGTAATAAACACGATGACCAAAACAACTTGGAGAGGGAAGGCCCTGATGCATTTGATAGCCTACAGCCCCTTACAAAGGGGCAGAACTCAAGGAAGAAGGAACTCAGTGTTCGGAGCTGAGGCAGAGGCAGGAGTGCCGTTGGCTTCTTTACTATCCACGACCTGCACAGTCTGCTTTTTATACAACTCAGAAACCCTGGCCTGGGGGGTGGCATTACCCACAGTGGTCTGGGCCCTCCGACGTTAATCGTTAATCAAGAAAATGCCCCCACAGACGTGCCTACAGACATTTTTCTCAGTTGAGGGTCCTTTTCCCTGACGACTCTAGCTTGTGTCACACAGACCAAAAACCTCACCAGGGCAGCAGTAGAACTAAGATGTGATTGCGCTGCCTTGACATTTTTTTTGTGATAAAATTTTAACAGGTCAGTTCATTCTGCATGAGCAAAGAGTAGTTTCTTGAGGTAGATTACTGGGGAGATGCTAGTAAACATCATTGAAGCGATAACAAGGATGCTTCGTACACTTGGACTTCTGGGTAAAATGATGCGTAAGAAGGCTCACCACGTTGGAAGTGCAGAGACGGCGCAGGGTTTAAGAGCCCTCGTTGCTCTTGCACAGAGGACCCAGCATCCACATGGCAGCAACAATCAGCTGTAACTCCAGTTCCAGGCAATCTGACACCCTTTCTGGCCTCCTTGGGCACTGTACACCTGTGGTGTATAGACATACAACAAAGCATCAATATACATAAAATAAAAACAAATCTTTTTAAGAAGATGCTTGTCACTTTTGTGCAACTCTTTCCTCAGAGATTGAACCATCCCATTTTATTGAAAATCTGGGAGGTAGACA